TCGCTGCTAAAGTGCAGAATCGCCCACTTATTTGTTTGGCGCTTTTTACAAAAGTAAGAAGAACTGGATTTTTGTCAATTTTCTTTGACTTTTTAAGTGAAAATAGGTCGATGTGTACATGGACAAAGTCAAGCGTGTGCGCAATGCCATTTTTGTGCAATTCTGGGATGTTTTTTCAAGTGGAAATAGGTCGACGTGTACATGGATACCGCGTATGTGTAATTCTTAAAAACGCGCGAAGCAGGCTTATTCACAAAGCCTACAGACCGTTTCTGCTGCTGTTTCCTCCGATTGGTTAAAACAGGAAACGTAGGGTTACAGAATCTAGTGCTTGGCTGGCGACTTTTGGGTTCATCGCCTTCACAATTTGTATTTGAGCGTCGTGTACCAAAAAGTGGGCACAATCTAGCGGAGAAACCGCAGCTCAGCGGTAACGAGCGCGGGAAAAGATCTTAGGCTTCTAAATCGCCGGTTCTGCCCCCGCTTGTAGCTTTCATAAACTCTGCTTTGCACGGATTTATTTTCATTTTAACTTTATTGAATGACTTTGTCTTTTTCGCCTTCGCGTGTGGTGTTAAAAATTAAACTCCTTTATTTTTCCTATTTTTGTTAATTTTAATTTTTCTTATTTTTATTTTTATTAATTTTATTATTATTGTACTCTTTGTAGTAGGTACCAGTAGCAAGATTACTATCCAAAATCCCGAAAAGCATTTCAATAGAAATAGTGCTTAATGGAATGAAATATAATTTTAGTTATACTTACTCATAATTTAGGTAAAAAGAATAGGTATCCGACGCCCTTAAATGTTTACTGAATGTTTTCCTTTGGTTCATTTTTTAATATTCCTTTATTTGTATAAATGAGCTACGGAAATTTACACGACAGAAATGACGAAAAAGTGCATATGCTATCTCCGTGTAAACACCTTTTTCTTTTAAAACAATTACGTACTTTTAAAAGTTTAAATTCAAATACAAATAAACTATTAATAAGATCAGTAGGTTATTTAAAATATATTCCACACAATTCCTCTAAGCTTTCATTCATAAACTGGCCCACCAGCGGCCGAACGGTAAAGTCGCTGAACACTGGAAGTTCGGTCCGAGGTTCGAATCCCGCGAACGGGCTGGCTGCATGGACGTTTTCGTGGTTTTACTCATGTGTAACGTGTATACGAGCCAGTTCCCCTTAGAAAGTCCTCCACGAAGGCATCTCTCCTCTTAGGCAGATAGCCCTCGAGGCTTTGCCATAATCACACACACACACACACATTCATAAACTAAAAAAATATCGAATGAAATAACGTTTGTTTGGCGTTAATTACCACGCCTACAGGGCGATAACTCGCCATTTCAAATATGACCGCCAAGCACATGTTTCCTCCAATCAGAGCAGCCGGTAGAGAAATGGTCTGTAGGCTTTGTGAATATGCGCGAAGCAGTGGGCGATTCTGCACTTTCTCCCAGTTTCGCACCTAATCTTCGTCATGATTAAGCGCTTTTGTTCCACAAAAGTTCTAGCATAAGCGTAATTCGGCTAGCAGATTGTTGGAAAAAATGTTGAGTTTAAAAAAAAAAAAAAAAGCCCCTTTACTTCGTGAAAAAAAAATGGCGTTCAAAAAAGTAACTAGCAGGTTACTGTAGCAGGGTTGGTCGCCAAATTTTCGCCACAAATCGCCAAGTTACCATAATGTAAAGATTCACTCTATCTATTTCTGAATAAGATTATAAAAGTATTTTAATTGCTTAGGTCAAGGGTTCTCAAACGTTTCAAATTTTGTACCACATAAACTTGAAACAAAAATATGTGTACCACCATAAAAGCATTTCGAAATTAAAAATGAATGCATCCTAAATGGACTGTATATAATCAAAGAATAAAACCCTTTAAATTTATATTATCTAATTACGAGTATATTCGTACATGAAACTTACATTACAATGAAATATAAATAAGTATACTACGAGTATACTGGAGCGCCGCTACAATTCTTGGAAAACGGGAAATTGGTTTGGTTTGGTTTATTAGATTACGGCAAAGCACTAGAGGGCTATCTGCCTTAAGGGAGGGATGCCTTCGTGGAAGACTTTTTAAGGGAAACTGGCTCGTTACACATGGGAAAACCACGAAGGATTCCAACCTCGGACCGAACTACCAGTGTTCAGGGACGTTACCGCTCGGCCGCTGGTGGGCAAACGGGAAATTTTTCGAAGCTCTTGGAAAAGTCGTCATTTCATATTAAAGCTAGAGTTGTAAAAGTGAAAAGCTTGAAAAATATTTGTGTTTTCGAGTAATAAATAATTAAATAAAATGTTAAAAGAGGCGCAATTTTACATTCATTTAATTTTTTCTGAAAAAATTGTACCGCTAAAAATACTGTAATGTACCATTAGTACCATTAGTACCACAGTTTGAGAACCGATGGCTTAGGTGAAACAGGAATGGGTCAGCATTAAGATAAATAAATTATTTCATATAAAGAAAGTGTGTTTTTTACTCCCTTCTGCAAAGTTTATACCAAGCTTCCCTAGCAAATCGCTGTCTGAGACGTTTCTCCTCTATGGTTTCATTGATGTTATACAGTAGGGTGCCCGCACTTATTGTTCTAACTTTATAGGAATAAAATGAATAATGAATCGTAATGCATTGCTTTTTTTTAAGCAGAACGTGGTGCCTACTCTAACACAAGAAAGTACCAAACCCAAGGTGCGAGAAGTAAGTAAAATACATACTACAGATTTATATAATACAATATACAAATGCAGTACAAAAAATATACAAATACCATAACCAAAATATATAAGAAATTATATTATTTTTAATGGGATTCTTAATTATTAATAATATCGGGAATTAAGATAGCCATTGGCCTTCTTTTGTTGCTTGAATCATTTGTAATTATAAATTCTAATTTCAAAATTATTAACATTTCTCTGTTTTTTATGAAAAGTTTTAGCAGGGTGACAGTAATGCGTTCTTAGTTGAACAATTTTGAGTTTCAGAACATTGTTCTGGACAGTTTGCAACTGCTTTCTGTTGGTTCTACAAGAATACATCCGGACTGGACAGGCGTCAAATAGCACGCGGCGCAAAATGGATTTGTAAATGAATAATTCGTTCTCAATAGATAGAAGTTACTTAGAACAATTAAGGCGTAGAGTCCAACTTTATACACTCCAAACTTCAGAATAACAGAATGTATATGTGAGAGACCATGCGAGCGAATTAGTGAGGATAATTTCAGGTAAGACCTCGGTTATGCTTAGATTATTAGTTATCTGAAGTTATTCAGATAACTTCAGTTATGTTTAGCCTAGGACGTTTCGCCTTTTAAAAGGCATGACTATCTTGGTGTCCTGTTCCATATTAGCCACAGAGGTTCCCCTCCTTGCTGCCTATGTAATTTTGGACAACCAATGAATGATGCTCATCTCAACTCGTGTTCTGGACTCATTTGTTTTAATTGCACGTATAAAAAAGTACTGGGAGGCCAGAAAATAAATGGTGTAATTGCTAATCACTTGCGAACTTGAAAGTAAAATATTTTGTTTTAAAGAAGCAAAAGTAATTTACTTTTCTAATTGTATAAATTGTTTGAATATAAAGACAACTGACTAAAAATTCGTCATTTTTATAACAAAATAAATAAGCACTTGGTTCGCGAATTCTGTATTCCGATTACCTACGACCTGAAAATATTTAGATCGAGTATGGACCCATTTACTTTAATTATTCGGTATTCTATTGCATTTTCAGGTGATTACACTGAGATAAAAATTACATAGCAAAACTGTGAAAAAATAAAGCTCTACTTGAAAATATATAAAGACATTAGTAGATATTATTACAATCAGTGCAGTAATTTCATCTCGGGGTTGGGGGGAGGGAGAAAAAAACGGAGCGTTCGCGTGTAGTGCAGCGAAAATTTGCAAAACTTTTCGCGCTTAGAATTTTAAATTCACGGTTAAGATTTTACATTACACTTTTATTTATTTATTTATATATTGAGAGAGAAAGGTTATGTGGCAAAGAAATAATGACGTAAATAACGAGTATGTAATTTAAAATAAAAAATATATCACATATCTTTTGACTGAAAATTATAAAGATAAACCAATTAAACTCTGAAAAAGTGTCACATCATTACCAAGATGAGCATTTAAAATTCACTGGGAATGGTGTTTTTGTGCCATACAAAGACATATTTTCGTCATTAAGGACACTTAAAAGAAATATTATTCGGTACCGAAATTATTTATCAGCGCTGACAAGTAACGGAAGAGAACTTATTGTAATATCGGGAAATGGTTTTACTTTAATCCGGAAGTCCAGCAAGAATTAAAGTAATTCACAAATCAAACTACCGGTTTTAATTTTGAAAAAGGATTAATCAGCAGTCTATTTTTGTTGATCTTGTAATGAAAAGATGCCTAAAATTATTTAAATACAAAATTAATCTAACAAGTATGATAAAAATTAAAAAATAATTTGAGGAAATTAGCGGATTTATTCGATGTTCGCGAAATAGTAGAACATTATTCCGGGGATTTAGATAATTTTGTGTAATATACTAGGATGCAATAAAGTTGCTGCCAATTATATATTGATAATTTAGAGAAAAAACAATATTCTTTCCCTCTGAACTTTCTTGGATGCTGGAAAACAATAAGTTATTGATAACAACCAAAAAAAAAAAAAAAAAAAAAAATTCTGCTTTATTTTTTAAGAAAAATTTAGAATTTTTACAAATTAATCTTTCAGAAGAATCACAGATTTTATAAATGAATTTTATATATTCTAAACATTATGTTTTCAGAATTCCAGTTTATATGAATGAATTTTATAAAGTTAGAAATGTATAATTTCATAAATTATTCAATATTATGTATATTGTATATTAAATATTATTATTATATATTATTGTATATTAAATATTATTATTATATATTATTGTATATTAAATATTATTATTATATATTATTATAATTATTTTATAAATTCAAAGATACATAATTTTATAAATTGTATATAAAAAGTTCATTTTTGATAAATGAACTTAAATTATAAAATTTATAATGAAATTAATTTTTGCATGAACTATTTTTTCGCTTTCTTATCAATTACTACATCTAGTAAAAGTTTTACCCAAAAGTTATCTTTTGAGATATTCTTCCATTCATCACTAGAGAAAACTTCCTCTGCATGCGCAGAAGAGAATTCGAATACACTCTTGTATAAATCTTCATCGGAATGTATACTGGCTAACTGGAGAACTTTGCACACATTGTTAACACTGAGATTAGATTTCAGAAAAGATGAGCAAATTTCCTTGAGAGCAGAAACGTCATACTTATCAGCTGCTACATACAGACGCTCAGCTGTTACAGGCAACACGTTTTTGATATTTCCAGTGTATATGAACAGAAGAAATTCATCCATTACATCCGCTTCGATATCTGAAATTTCAACCTCGTTTCTTACAGACTCGCTCATCTTAGTTTTGAGCATCCTCGCAAACACAGATGATCGGGCGCAAAGAATACTTTTGTGAACGCGTAATGTCTTGGATCCGACAATAATATTAACATCAGATAAAGTTCCAGTTTTATACAGATTCCGAAAATCTCTGTTGAAGTTAGGACAAGTAATAGAAGACACTAATGCAAAGGAAGATTCTGCTGTTTTAGAAAAGTAGTCTTGATTAGCAAAGCTAAATTCACATTTAAGTAGGATAACCTTCGAATCTGGAAAAACGGGTAGCGAGAATTCTGCACATTTCCAAGTTTCATCCGTTTGGAACAAGTGTTCATTTTCGGAATTTCTGACATCGAAACAAATCCTACTTCTTACGAATATTGGTCTGTGCTCCCGATCACCTAAACTCCTAATACAAATATAAAAGTTTCTAGCATATTTTGAGTGTTCTGGTATATGACAGGTTAAATTCCATTTACAAGACTTTAGAACATCTACAGAAAACTCATGACTATATAATAATGTACCAGTTGGGAAGCTGGAGGTGTTTTGTATTGGGCATTCAAACGTTATTTTGTTTGTATTAATATGGGTTTTTACTTTCTGTGCCACAACATGTACACATTTTAAAATAGGAAGTTCATATTTCGCAGCAGCCTCATACAGTTTTGGTAAGATTTTAGATCTAAGGCAATCTATTTTCCCAGTGTAAACGTATTTTACCATGGCTTCTAACACGTTTGGAGCGATATCAAAAATTTGTTCATGAGATTCGCTTGAATCGAGTTTTTCTGCCAGTCTGGGCCACCTCGCCCATAAAATAGCTTTATGTACTTTGTAAGTTGCATCGCCAGCACATAGCTCTACATCAGCAAATAATTCATTTCCACAGGATAGTTCAGGAAGCAGTTCTTGTTCAGTTTGGTACACTGGATCCATAACGCATTCTATGATGAAAATGTCATTTATCAAGGATTTTAAAAAAGAATTTCCCTGTAGATAAGTGCTGAATTTCCAGCTGCTCTTACTTGAAAATATATTCTTAAGGTAGTAGTATGAACTAAAAATCGATTTTGCGTTGGTCTTCCTTCCATAAATGCAAAATCTTATATTGCAGTTTTCTGGGACATCATCATCTCGCACGAGATAAATTGCTACATAATTTTCAGCGGAATCGCCTTTCGGGTATATTTGCATGAGCCATTTCACGCCGGGTAAAGAATCCAGCACAAAACTCGGGCTACAAAGACATTGTCCCTTTGACTGATGGCACATGCTGAAGTTTTCAATAATCCAGGTGAATCTAAAGGTATTATCCTTCTGCTTTTCCATGAGATCTAACCGGCTAATTATTCAGTGAAACGGAACAAACGCGTCCGAGATGCGCATGTTATCTAACCATGCAGTAATTTCTCGCTAGCTTGTCAGATAAAAGCATTGAACCGCTTCCTCTTATCGCAGACGTAAAGGTGATACTATCCCAGCTGGTATTGTTTAAAGGGGCAGAAATTCCCAACCTGGATCAAATCGGCTGATAAAGATTAAATTACTTGAGGTCTGAGGTTATCAGAAATTATCTACACGCGATTCAAAGCTCGAAGCTGAGAGTTGCATTCTAATTGGGAACTATTAGAAGTTCTGTTTCCTTTCAAAAAATTCCCTAGATAAAATTAATATTTCCCATTTCATTTTTTTTTAACAATCATGACATTATTTGAGAAGTCATTGAAACATTCCGATGCAGTTAACTTTCGTTTAACTGCGGTTTTTCTGGACACTGCCCTTTTTTTATTCCCACTGTTGCCATGTGTAGCTTGCAGATAGCAAGCTGTATACCGGGTGTCATGAATTAATAAGTACACTGCAGGTAAAGCAAATGCATGAGTGCGGCCGGAGGACAGGATGCAAGGAGAAAGAGGGCGTCACTACTTTGTCACGTAAGATTTGGACACTGCGTTTACAGTTTCCCGGTTAATCCGAGGGTATTTAAGTCCCCTCTAGTGGCCAAATGCTAAAGATGGCTTAATACTGGTAGTTCGACTCAAGTTTGAACCAGGGCGAACGAGCTGCTTACATGAGTGTTTTTCGTGTCCTCCCCCATATGTAACATGAATACGGGGCAGTATTATTTATCAAGTCCTTCACAAAAACATCTTGCTCCTTAGACATGTAGCACTCGTATGCTTTGCCATATTCCAACAACGTAACCGACGGCAGATGAGAAACACAGGAAAGAGAAATATCCCATATTCTGATTAAGAGAAAAATACTATTAAAATTTACCTGTAATTCAAAGCAGTTTAATTTGAAGAATAAATTCATTTGGTTTCTTAAATTAAACCTGTATTCAAAATCTGAAAGAAATTAAATCAGAAGAGAAACACGCCAAAGTGAAACATAAAATTCGCAAACCAGCAACCTTGTGTTTAGCGTAGATTTATTCAAGAACTCAATCGATTTCGAGGGCAAACAGCTACAAGTCCCTCTTTATCAGGAGCAAAGAAATCTGCAAGACTGAGATTCTCTGCAGTCTTGCTAACTGAGTCTTGCATATTTCTTGTTCTTGATGAAGACGGACCTGTACCTATTTGCCACCGAAATCGATTCAGTTCTTGACTAAATCTACACCCAACACAGGGTTGTCGATTTTCCAGTTTTATAAACGAAAGTACTTCAAGTAATGGAAAAATAATCAACATTAGAAATAAAGGGAAAAAATTATAAATAGCATTATGCAAGAATATTTATAAGAAAACTTCAACAATGCCTTTGAATTCCAACTGGTATTAGATCTTATTGGCCCAAAGAGGCGTTAGCCCAGAAGGGCTGTTAGTCTCGAAACGGCATTTTGCGTTGAATCACTTTTAAAATTGTTGCCACCAAATATTATCGCCCTTTATTATGTTTAAAGAAACTGAATAATGAAGAATCTGCATAAATGCATGTATGTTTCTCGCATTGTGAAGAAAAAAAAAAGGTATCTAGAGCCATCAGATCTTGAAGAACACAGTCCTCCACCCGAACATGGGCATTTGGAAGCCCGAATTTTGAATTTCGAATTTGATTCATTATCTTTTCATATTCTGTCAAACTTTAACGAATTTTTGATTAAAAAATTCAACGATTTCAAAGCGAGCAGTGGCGACACTGTACGGAATAAAACATTTTTATATTCATCACGGGAGATGAAGAAGGTTAGAATAGATGGAGTAAGCCTGACGTCACAAAAACGAAGCCAAGGAAATGTCAGCCATGGACCTTATAAGAGATGTCTTATAAGGTTCATGATGTCAGCAACGTGACGTCAAGACTTATCATGGCCGCCATACAGCGTACGGGTAATACTACGAAACATAATATACTATAGTTAAATAAAATTACACTGAATTTGAACGCAGGGTCAGAAAAGTGTTTTCAGGCATAATTTGCATAAAATATCATTGTAATTTCCAGTAATATTTCAGGTTTTACCATGTTTACATTTGTATCACTTTCTTGGTAAATTATATATACTAAGTGAGCGTCATTCTGGCAGCTGGTGTAGAGCCAGTTTTTGCAGGAAAAGTTTTTTTTTTTTTAATAAATGCCTTATTTGTCATTTTGCAGTAAAATAAAAAACAGTAATCAATCATCTAGGCTAACCGTTTAATATAACTATATATATAACTATATCGCCAAAATATCGTTGATTATTGTACTTCAGGTTTTAATATTTAAGTAATTAAGTTTATTTTAATGTTATTCGCATTATTTAACGTGTGTTCTTCCTTATATATTTATTTTTTATTAGGTAATAATACTTTTAAATTTCAGGCCATTTGCTCTGGCATACTTGTGAAACTATTTCTAGTAGTAATATGACATACTATCAGGAAATTTAGTACGCATATTTTTTACTTATGTACGTTGTTAATAAATATAAAATACTTGAATTTATTTAAAATATAATTAAATATATTTCTTGCTCCCTTTAACTTCAAAATGTCTGCATGAAAGACATTTTAAAATCCCGATTGCGCAGATACCAATATCGATCTTCAATGGAGAAACGAAGACCTATTAGAGTTATAAAAGTAATGGTTTGAGAATTATATAGAGATATGTATGTAAGATATAACAAAATACGATAGCTGCTGTAAAAAATAATTGGCGACCTCAAAATTAACATTCTAGATTTTGTGATCTCCCCCTAAATTCATCTATTCCCCAAAATTCTTAGCATATTTAATTATGATTGAATAAGTGTCTGCCAAATTAATTGGATATGTGTGAAAATAAAGACTGGAAATTGTAAGAAAAATAAATAATATATCAAAGATTAAATTAGCAGCGTAAATTAATTTTCCTTCTCTATTCTAAAAACAGTGACCGCTATTTGCACTGCGTCATTTCGAGACTAATCTATGTCATATGATTCTCACATAATTCTTCAAAAGTTTCTTTCAAAAGCTTTCTCAAGTTCCCGTAATACAGGAAAAAATAAAAATTCGTCGATCGTATCAGGATCAGCATCTGAAATCTCAACAATGTTCTCTTTCGATTCGATCATTTCGGTTTCGAACATTTTAGAAAACACAGATGATCGAGCACAAAGAATAAACTGATTTCTAAGTGAGGACTTTTTAAGGGAAACTGGATCGTATGCACATTACACATGGGGAAAGCCACTAAAACGCCGGCCAGCTCGTTCGCGGGATTCGAACCTCGGACCAAACTACCTGCGTTCAGCGACTCTACCGCTCGGCTACTGGTGGGCTTGTTAGCAGAATTATTTCTACTTTATAGCATAAAGTAACAATGCTATAAGACTGAGGGTTTGTTCATGGAATAGTACTTTTGTAACCTATTATACTTTAAAAAATCATTGTTTCTCTGCAAATTTAAAAACAAAACAAAACAAAAAATACTGTTCATAGCATTCTCATTATTATATTGTAAAATAGATATTGACTATTATTAGTTTTCTATTTAAAATGTGTCGAAACGCTGGTTTGACAAGGACTTCAACTGCAGGAGACCCTACACTGATTGTTTTTACTTTAGTACTTGCATTGTGAAAATATTACTAACTTTTAATTATTTACACACAATAAAATCTTTCGAGAAGGAAAAACATTTAAACTAAGCAGTTCTTATATATATATAAAATTAAAATAACAACAATGTAATATTAAAAAAAAAAGGTATTAGTAATTGTGTGACAAAAATTGCGAAACGAATTAATCACACATACAGGATAGATTAGTTTAACTTTAATTATATATTTTATATTAAAAGTATTTTCTTTCATGTTAATTATAGAATAAATTATTTAAAATAAAGCATTTTGATGCGTGTGTGATAGTTGAATGCAGCAGCAATCGGCCATACTCTAATAGCGAATGAATTTTATTTCTTTTCCTGAAAGAAATAATTTTCATACAAAAAAAAAAAAAAAAAAAATTAAAAAAGGGAAAAAGGGAAGAAATATTAAAAAATATTTTCTTTCTAATTTCTTACTTAATGAAATATTTTTCCGATATTAACTGTAAAGTAAATTGCGTGAAAACAGTTTTAATGTAAGCATGGAAAAAAAACGAAAAAAAAAAAAAACTTATTTTGCTATTAGATTGCAATGCAAATTAATCACATTATAAATTTAAAATTTAAATGATTCAAATTGTTTATTTCTAAAAAGATTTAAGTAAGCTTAATTCATTTACTCCTATCTACCGTTGCTTTCATGGTATCCCACATCACTCTTAGACCTAAATTCCTGCGTTAACTTCCCCCTTAAAAAAGGGGATTTTCCTTAATATACACAGCAGTGTATTCTGCTGCCTGTTGGTCATAATACTGTTGTGTGCCATTTTTCTTCGAACTACAAATGCAGCCTGTGAGTTAGTGAAACAATAAAAGAATATTCCTAGAACTTCAGTCAGCGCGCGCTATAAATTTCGTCTCTGGTCTGTGCTGCGATTGGTCTAAAGCTCCTTGAAGCTTTCTCCCCTTTTAGTAAAATCAGATCGACCCATCCGACCACTAACTGAGGACCACAGAATGGCTTTCTCCGATAAGTTGTGATGGCTGTCCATACCGGATTTTTGAGTCAATATTGTTCGCTCAAGTTGTAGACAGATCCAGTGATCATAGAATAGCCGTCCTGTTAACAGTAATAGAACTGGAATAGTTCGCGAGAATGGAGGAACGTAAGCTTGATAAATTTATTTTCACTTGGATTATTGAAAACGCAAGCATGTGTCATCATTCTAATGGAGCAATACTGAAGAGTCGCAGATTTACTTTACCTTCTTTACCCAGTATGACATGGTGTATATATCTACTTTCGCGCTTAAACACGGATAAAAATCAAGTAAAGATTTACCTCAAGAGAACTGATGATTTTCTAGAAACTTGCAGAGTAAAATTTAATTTTCAGTTCTTGGATTCCGATGGAAAGTTGATTTACAGTAGTGAAGAATATGTAAGTCAATTTACAAACGATGCTGGTCGGGGACGCACTAAACGTTTTGCAATGAAGCTTTTTACCTGTTCCCTCATAAATGACATTCTCATTATTAAATTTAATATGGAGGCAGTACTTAAGGCAAACAAGGAAGAGACACTTCTTTCACTTCCGTACAGAAATGCATCTTTCACGGACGTCGTTTTATTTACTGGTGGTGCTGTTTACAAAGTGCATAAAGCTATTTTATCGGTGAGGTGGCCCAAATTGGTAGAAAAATTGGACGCTCAAGATGCGTCCCAACTAGTCATGAGTATTACGCCAGACGTTCTAGAGGCCATGCTCGAGTATGTTTATACGGGAAAACTGGATTGCAGTAAACCTGAGATGTTAGTCAAATTGTATGATGCTGCAGCAAAACACGAACTGAGTTTACAATGCATGCCTGTAGTAGTACAGAAAATGCGAACCCGCATAAATGCACAGCAAATATCGTTTGAGTGGCCGATCGAAAATTTCTCCCGCCTTCCTGTTGAGACAGTATTATACAGTCAAGTATTTTCTGTTCGTATGTATAAAGATGCTTCCTATAGATGGACTTTGATCTTTCATAAACGTGATGCGGGTTTTGATATTTCCATTTGCAAGATACACGATGAAAGAGTAATTCCATTTTTCCTGAAAAGCAAAATATCGTTGTGTGGATCTCATTCTCAAGAAAATGAGCATATGTTCGAAGACAATAATACTTGGAAATGTGCGGAATTTTTCGAAGATATTTCCACAGATCAGAGTGGTGATAAATTATTACTTAATTGCCAGTTTACGTTTTCTGATTGCCATTATATTAATGAAATGATGGAATTCTCATGTGCGTTTACATCATCTATTCATTGCCATGATTTTAGTATAAATATTCAAAATCTTTTCGAAACTGGAGAATTCTCAGATGTTGACATAAAAGTTGATTCGAAAACGTTTTCTGCTCACAAATTTATTCTCTGTGCTCGATCACCTGTGTTTTCTAAAATGTTCGAAACCGAAATGATCGAATCGAAAGAGAACATCGTTGAGATTTCAGATGCTGATCCTGATACAATCGACGAATTTTTATTTTTTCTATATTGCGGACACTTGAGAAAGCCTTTGGAAGAAACTTCGAAAAAATTATACGCTGTAGCTGATAAATACGATGTTCCTGCGCTTAAGAAAAGGTGCTCGTCTTTCTTCAAGTCGAATCTTGATTGCAAAAATATAAGCGAAATGCTTCGATTAGCTGATTTGTATTTGGATGATGATTTGTACGAGAGTGTGTTAGAATTTACCAATGCACACGCAGAAGTCGTTTTCTTAAGTGATGAATGGAAAAAAACCGAGAAAGATGACTTGGTGGCAAAATTTTTGCAAGATGTAATACTGAGAAGGAAATAGGAAATTACTAAGTTAAAAGAATACTGTTCACAATACTGATTATTGGATTATTTCGAATCTCAAATTTTCATGAAACTTATATAAATGTTATTATTTCCATTTTGGTAAGTTGTGGTGTAACATCCAAGTTGAACAAATCGTTTATTGTGATTTCATTCAGTTAATTTTAATTTTATTATATATGATAATTAAATGTGTTTTCTGGTAAAAGTTTACAATCGGATGCCCCTTGTTTTTTGGCTATTCTTTTTTGACGGCAAGATCGGCTCCAGGAAGGCACAATTTCAAGATGGCCGCTACATAAAACCAAAAGAAGAAGTCAAAGAATTGCACGAACACTGTGTCCATGTACACATCAATCAAAACAACATCCTAGAATTGCACAAACTAGGCATTGCGTGCTGCCTTAAATTTGTCATCAATCTATTTTCATTTAAATAAAATCAGGAAGCTAAAACACAGTAAAAACTATCATGGGTAACCAGAAGTGAGGTTTTATCGCGAAAATTCGAAATAAATTGTCGTTAATCGAAGGGGCACCCAATTCTCCACCAGACCGGAGTTTTCGGGGAAAGTGCAGAATCGCCCACTGCTTGGTGCGTTTTTAAGAATTGCACTAACTCGGTATCCATGTGCACATCGACCTATTTTCACTTAAGAAGTCAAAGAAAATTGACAAAAATCCAATTCTTCTTATTCTTGTAAAAAGCGCCAAACAAATGAGTGATCGATTCTGCACATTAGCCAATATAATAATTTCTTCAGATTTAAATTTTGTACATAAATTTCGTTATATAGCTCAAAAATAAATAAATAAAAAAAATCTGAAGGGGTAAAATAGTAATAAAGGTTAATTAGTATTTAAATAAATTGAACTTCATTTTTTTTTTTTTTTTTTTTTTCAAGTTTTTAAGCCAGATTGTCATGTAATTTGGAAAATGAAGCTTCAAAATCTGCAATCTCAGTTTCTAAAACTGTATACTGAGTAATTTGCATAGAATGTGTTCTTTTCCTCTTATTGTTTACTTATTATTAGATTATAGTATTTTAATTTTAGCTTAGGTTTAACATGCATGTATTTAATGCTTGGCCTAACATTTTTTGCTCCAACCGAGATAATTTCGTAAACGTACAACAGAAATTAAAATCTACTATAAGTGCTTATAAGGTTAAATAAAGAAGTGGTTAACAGCGATAATAAGTTGTTTTAAAAAATTAAATTGAACATACCTTATTTTTAAGAAGTTATTAGTATTTACCACTACTTTGAATTTTCTTTAAAAATTCTTTATTATTTTATGGCATCGAAAACTTCGCTGCAATTAAGTTCCATGTTAATTTAACAGCTTTTAAGCTTCAGCCATTTTACGTTTTTCTTCAAACCATATACTATAAAGAATGCTGTATGTAAATAGTACCGATGTGCCTGGGATTTTGCAAATGTGTTTTATTACTTTCACAAAATTGGGCTATGAAATATTTTTGTCGTTGAAATCACTGAAAAGTCGTAGCCATTTTTCTTCACAATTTTTAGTTTTTCCCAAATTTCTTAATTAGTTGAACAAAAGGCTTTTGTAATTACTATTTCAATAAAAATTGGTCCACGCTTATTACATTATTTGAGACAGTTTCATCACTTTTTGTTCACCTGAAGTGTCAGTTTCGGAGCACGTTGACTCTTCGTTGTTTTTCCAAATAAAAGATTCTGCTCCACTAAAAACTGTTTCCTCATAGCACAGTGTAAGAAAGACATCTGTCATAAAATGCTGTAAAAGTTTTAGGATCGTATTGATATTAATAGTGTAGATTCGGCACTTTCAAAAATTTTTCCGAATAACCAGAACACAGGGCCCAACTAGACCGGGACTCAAGGATCACACCTTGAAAGCGGGATACTGCCGCTCAAAGCAGGATGTCTGGCAAGCCTATTAATATTTCAACGTTTTAATGTATCTTAACTTTATATTCTTAAACACGAAAGTATGTTGGTTTTTCGTATTATTTACCTTATGGCCTCAAATTGGCGGATCGCATGCGGTCACCCAAGCAATCTTATGCGAAGACATTTCAATTATATTTTTTTTAAACGCGGTGTTGCAAAATTTTCAAGATTTGAGTTATTTGAAATCCTAGGTTTCATTACTTTCATTTTTACTGAAAGCAGACATGAATAATGCACCATAAAATTTATGAAAAGCTAATTAATTAACATTGTGATGTAAATCGTATTCAAAGATTTGAAGCTATATATTTTATTAACTTTCTTCGAACTTGCCAAGAAAATAAAAACTTAGTTATGAAGTTTTGCACTGAGAATAATCACTTTGCTTGCTTGGAAATACATTTATAGGTGAACAGGTACTTTTTCACAGTTGAAAATTGTTAAGAAAGAACCCGATTGATTTTTGAATATCTACGATGCATGATGATGGTAAATTCTAGTAATTTCTGTGCGCGGCAACAAACTTTATTAGAATCGAAACTCCATCAAGTGTCAAGCTGTAGTAAAAAATATAGATGTTTTCTAATTATTTACATATAAAAATATGTATTTCTATTTATGCATTGAAGAAAAATTTAGTAAATAAGGAGAAAGACACTAGGTTGTTATTGTTTCAAAATTTCGATTCCTGGTAGATTTTCTCAACGTTTCAAAACGTAGAAAGTTTTCATAATTTATTTATTTTAATTTAAATTAAAGTTACTTAAAGATTAATGAAACATGTAAGAATTATTTGAATGAAATATCAGTCTAAGAATAAGGGAACAGCTTTAGTATTGGTCCTTTTGGCAATTTTTTTATTTGGCGACAAACTTCGGTCGCCAAGGTAGACCCGATTTTGAAGATCGGAAAAATATGGCGGATTGTCAACAAAACCCGATCTAGACTAAATAACAATCCTAAAAAATAAGCTCTTAATCAGAATAAACAATCTTTCTCTAATTTTCAGTATTTCTAGTACTGCAATGATAAATTCTTGAAACACTACTGTAAATGAATTTATGACAATTATTATGTTATGAGTAATGAAATTTACAAAATGTTAATATTTTTAATTACAAAATATAATGTATTAAACATTAATATTTTAAGTAGTTAGTTCATATTTATATTTTTATTATATTAGTACTTAGCTAATATTTTTAATTTACAAAAGGTTAATTTTTATGTTTATGAATAATGAAATTTACAAAAGGTTAATAAATGCATTTCAACTAATATATGTTACTTTGTTTCTTAGATTCTGTTATTAAAAGAAAATAAAAAAATATTTCAAAATGAAGGAAATCAATTAAATTATAATGGGCAAGTTTTGTACTAGTGTTAGAAATATTTTTTATGATTAAATATTGTAAAATGGTAAAAATATTAAGAAGTGTGTATTTTTTAATCACTTGATTTATTACAAGTACTTTGTGATTATAATTTAAAAGCTAAAATTAAATTATCGTAATGAGTAAATTTTGTACCAATGGTAATAATACACAACAATTATAACTGATGATTTCTGTGAAAGTTTCTAACAGTCGTTGGAATCCACTAGTGGTGGAGTGATAAGTCACTGAACACTGGTAGTTCAGGCTGGCTATATGGGAGCTTTTGTGGTTTTCTTTACATGTAATGTGCATCTGAGCCAGTTTCTCTTAAAAAGTCCTTTATGAAACTATCCTTCTTCTGATAGCCTGCGTATATATTTATTTTCTATTCATAAATACTGTTCTCTCTTCTTATTTTCTAATTCTAAATCTTATTCCTGAAGTGAAGAGGTGTTGCATCTATAGGTCGAAAAATATGGTCAATATGTTTGCAAAATCCTGTCAGTTTTGGAAAGCATTTAAATAAACTAAATAATTTATGCGATGCAAACAAAAATGCATTACACTATTTCATGTACTGAATAATTAATCAGGGAACAAAGTATATTGTAACGTTCCTTTATTTTGTTAACCCAGAGTTTATTTTATGCTTGGGATCTTTACTGTCAATTTCCTCCATCCTTTTTCTCACCAGAATCCAAATGAAGTTTTTTTATTTTCTAAAACAAACCGTGTTTTGCCTTTTGAGGCACAATTAATAGGTTGCTAGATAAGAAAAGATTTGTAGTCTTCAGCCTTGCATTATAATTGCTGATAGTTGAATTCCAGGCCAGTTAAGTTTTTAACCAACTTTGCATTAAATTGATTTGTGCAGCCTTTGGGCTACAAATTTAGTTGAATTTAAATTTTACATTTTAACTTAATTGTTATCATAAGTTTATCTTGCCACAAGTGGTTGACTGAGTCGTAAGCACAAAGTGTGCCCTTCTGTTCTGTACATCTAAACTTTATAATAGAATAAAAGTATATCTTAACTTAATAAGAATATATCTAAACTTTATGATAATAACATTTAAAGACATTGAAATCAGTATCTAAGTGCTTGCCCATGTAGTCAAATTTTATATATAAAATTGTACTTTTATTATAGAGTTCTTATTACAAAAAATTCAGATTTCTGTTAGATAAAATGTTTAAGTAATGTAGATAATTTGCATAAAATTTAAAATAAAAAGTATACTGTTATGTCAACATACTATTAATAAAAGTAATAATACTCAGTGAAGGTTATTCATATACAGCTGTTAGGTTGTGAAGATTTACAAAATTTGAGAACTCTAAATTATAAGCAATATATTCCATAATCTAAGCAACATTATATTTTTTATAGTCAGACAAATTATGAAAAATGTATAAAAGCAATAATGAAACCTGATTTTGGTTCTGATTTGAACCTATGAATTCATGCAATTACACATCCCTATAGTTCTAATATGAGGTAAAAAAGGCTAATTTTTTAGAGACCATGGTAATTTTGATCTCCTTAGCAAAGGAAACACCAAGAGTTTACTTCATGTTAAACTGAAAATGTGTTTTTTTCCCCCCTTAGGAGGGGTGTTTATAATAATATGCAGACTTGACATATGAAAAAAATGTCAAGACTCATGTGATGTAATATTAAAAGCGCCAGTTTTAACTATAAAAAATTCGGCTTTTTAAAAAATATTTTAAATGTTGTGCTTTCCTAACACAAAAGTAACTTTAAGAAAAACACACAATTTATCCCTCCTGCCATCAAAGCTCTGATACCTATCAAATTCCTTAAAGTTTCGTGGACAGAAATGGCGGCATGTTTGAAGCTCAGTATTTAGGGTTACCAAGGTTATCATAATTTTACATTTATCGCTCCAAAATGTCGCCAAACAAATTTCTTGCCAAAAAGGACTAATACTAAAGCTGTGCCAGAATAAGAATGTAGAATTTAGCTGTCAATATATTAGAATTGCAAAGTGTAATTGACAATAATGTTTTATAGGCAGTAAAAACTATAGATTTCGGCTAGTAAAAAAAAATAATATGAATTTCTTTTCCTTTGCGCATCATTTACTTTGCGATATTATTATTATTATTGTTGTTTATGTATGCTTTGAAAAATATTTAGTAAGCAAAATTTAAAATATTTTTTATTTTCTTAAAAACTTTTCATTTTATTAAAAAGAATTCTCTCCGGTCAACACTTTCCAAGCATTCGGCCCGAATGCAGTCTGAGTTTGAGACCGCTGATTTAACTAATGTTGAGCAAGCCCATGGTGCAGAATTCAAAGTGCATAAAGCTATATTGTGGGCGAGGTGGCCTGAACTGGCCAAAAAACTCATGGAACAAAAGTCTTCCGAACAAGATTTCGACATTGCGTCGGACGTTCTGGAAGCCATGATCAAATATGTTTACACTGGAAAATTAAATTTTAGCGGATGTGTGTTGAGTTTCGAGGAGGTCTATACCACTGCAACAAAATATGGACTCCACATTCTCAGCCCTACACCTGGTAGCATAAAAACATCTGAAACTCACATTAATACTGAAAAAATTTCCTTTGTGTGGCCAATAGAGAATTTCTCCAGCCTGCCCGTTAACACAGAGTTGCATCACGAACTTAAGGTAGATATCCGAGAATTTAATAAGTGGAGTTTAATAGTACACATCAGCGAAAAAACGGAAACTGATCAGATTTTTGATATTTTCTTTTGCAAAATACCTGATCGTAAACTCAAACCAATTTTCGTGAGAACCAAGATATCCTTCGATGATGATAATTCTTCTGAAAATGAACATTTGTTCGTAAAGGATGAAAATTGGAAATGTGCTGAGTTTTCGCGGAATATATCTACAGATTCAGATGATATATTGTTACTCAGATGCGAATTTAAATTATCCGATGGCAATTTTTCTTCTGAGACTCTGGAAACTTCTTGCATCTTTTCAACTTCGATCGGAGAGAGTAATTTAAACAGAAGCGTTCAAAATATTAATGAAAGTGGAGCATTATCTGACGTTACTATAATAGCTGGTTCGAGAAGATTTTCCGTGCACAAATTTATTCTATGTTCACAGTCTTCGGTGTTTTTCAGAATGTTCGAAACCAAAATGACAGAATCGACAAACGACCAGGTTGAGATATCTGATGTGGATCCTGATATTATACATGAAATGCTTCTTTTTCTGTATACAGGAAATGTGGAAAACTATGCGCAGAAACAGCTATGCAGCTTTATGCAGTAGCTGATAAGTACGATGTTTCTGCTCTCAAAAATGTGTGCTCGTCCTTTCTCAAATCCAGTATTACTGTCAAAAATGTGTGCAAAATTCTCCAGTTAGCTGATTTGCATTGCGATGAAAATTTGTACCAAAGTGCCTTAAAATTTTTTTCTGATCATCTGCAGGAAATTTATTCAATCGATGAATGGAAAGAGAGGTCCAACAACAATTTTTGTGTGAAACTTCTGCAAGATGTGATAACCCACAAAATGATTTACGTACGTTTTCGTAATTTCGTTAGCAATTATAAAAGTTAAAATCCCGTAAGATTTGTATGTGTTTTGTAATTATTATAATTCTTAAAATATGTTTTATGATTTTTCCAGTTTAATGATGTGAAATATTTTAATACTTCAAGAGGTAAAATTTTTTCTTGAACTTACACCAGTAAAAATTTATTTTATTTTCTTCAGTATGAAAAATCAAAATGCAAAGAAGTTTATACTCCTGTAATTCTGGTTTATGATTATCATCCACTTTCCTAATTTTCATAGCATGTTTCAAAGACAAATAGCACTTTTAATGAGCTGCAACGTTTTCTAATCTGTAACTTAGCTATAATACAATGTTCCTAAATTTTAATAAGATAGTGTGTTTTTATATTTGAGTTTGTTTCCTAATTTTTAACGTTATTTAATCTATTAAATTATTAACATCTATTTTAATTGCTAAAGTCTATGCTTTCATTATCTCTTGCCTTGATGCTTTTAGTTGTACCATATAATTGGTTTATACTCTCTTTTTTATATGTAAAACATTCATCCCAAACTTTATGAAAGAACCTTTTCAACGTCGACTGCAAAATATATGCAGTGCATGTATGAAACTTGACTTAAATCTGTGAGATCTTAGTTTAAATTTATATGTTTACCTTCTGAACTTGTAATCAGTTTCTAGAGAGGAAAAAGTGAAGGTATTCAGTTACTACTAAAAGTACATGATGCCTGAGTAAATAAATTAGTAGAGTTTAAAAGTATGATAATATACTTAATGCTATGCCCCTTTGTGAAAATTAGTAACACATAGTTATTTTCAGTAATTTTGGCTTAACATGAGAAATTAATTGCTAAATGCAGCAAATTCCACTTGCTTAAAGTATATATGCTCATGGTAAATTTTGTTTTATTATTTACAGCTATGAGAAGCTTAGTTTTGCATTTTTTTTTATTTTTTTATTTTGTAAACTATTGCTATAATAATGTTATTTGTGTGGAAAATTAGTTGTGTTTATTTACTGTCCAAAACGGAATTTTTTTTGAAGTATACGATGAGAGTATACGCTTAGAGATCATTATTCGAAAAAGTAAGAATGCCGTGGACAAGTTTCATGTAATATAGGGATAATTATTTTGCTCTTTTTAATACATACTGCAATTTTACATTTAATTAGTCTTACGTGATGATATAGATTTAAATGTATAATATAAGCATAGCTTATGGTATTTTAATACAATGCTTAAATGAGAAAATTTCACTTATTATTAATCTCGATGAAAAGGAAGGTATTCAGTTGGTAAGTTAAATACAGGGAGGATTTCGATTTTCTGATAGAACATATTAATAAATAATTATAGTAGAAAATGACAAGGATGAAATATTAATCAAATACCTATTAACTATTTGCTGTAGGTAAAGTTTATTTATTAATTTTATTACTCGGATTGTATCTTTCTAGCTCTTTTCTGGATTTAAGTTCATAGTTTTATTATTTTAATTTATTGATTTATAATTTTAATTATTGATAAAATCCTATCCATGAATTTTATGCAAACTTTCATAAAATGTTTTTGATAGTTTATGCAAATTCAATTGGGCTTCAAATGCAAAATTCTTTGGGTTTAAAACAAATGAATGGTTACCTGTATTTGATACAGTCAAAAGGAAAAATATTAATGTTTATTTCAAATATTATTTATAAATATTATTTATTTCAAATATTATATTATATAATATAAAAGGTAACATCATGTCCAGTCCACCCCCCTATGTCAAAACAAAAATTTATAGCTTGCACTTTTTGGCCTGTTGCTAAGTAATCCACTTTTGTATAAAATATTAATCAATTTTTGTTTCATACTGGTGATCCATTTCTGGAGTTCTTGAACTTTTTACAGATTTAAAAACAGTAATTTTAGCATTATTTCCCTGAAATTACTGCCTATACGAAAATGAGCCCTGTCCCAAGTACATATTTATAATGCTAAGGGATTAATCTGAAGACTCTTTGAATCACATTGCACTGTTTGAATTTGTGCAATAGTTTTAATTTATTCGAAACAGATATCAGAATTTTACCGAATGTGTTCATATGTGCGCAACCGAGAAGGAAAATTCTAAACCTTACATATCTGGAACAAACTTTGAATGTAGAAATTTCAATTTCATGATCTGATTCAATTCATGATGTAGTTTTCCTTATCTAATTTAAAAACGTCTTACCTAAGAGGCATATGCGGAATTTTCACTAAGAGCATGCTGCTGAATACTTTTTAAAATATTTGTTCAAGTATAAAATAAAAAGGTTTGAATTAGATGTAAGAGAAAGCTGTCTATCGTATTTGGGAATTGAAATATAGTTGAATATCGCATAACTTGTAAAATTCTGAAATACATGTATTAAAAGTTAAAGATCGTAATTCAATTTTGATTGATTTTTGCAAATCGCACCATCATTACTATAATATATTTCCACGTAAAATCAGTAAATAAAGTACATTAATCAAATACTAACGTAATGTCGAGGACATTAAAACCAGTTTGAAATTTTTCTGAGTCAACAAAGCCCCTAAGAAATATGCACATTAAATTGTGCCTACATATTTTTACTCTTACTTAAATTTATTAATTTTATCTCTTTGTGGAATCGGCAGATTGATGAATGCCCCTGAAGGCAGTTCTTATTTCGTGGAGGCATGTATATAATTTAAAAACGTATTTAATATTTTTTGCATGTTTTATCCTATCGTTGTAAAATTTTGAAAGTATTTTAATTTGCTTATTTTACTGGACATCCATTCTATAAAGATCGCACGAGACAATCTCAAAACTTTTCCTAATATTAGCGACAGGGCTTAATTTTTTAAATTAGAAATGTTGGAATTCTTTAGATTTTTTTCAAAAACAAGAACAAAAGTTAGTAAATAAAAAAAAATACGGGAAATTTTTTTAAAAAAATTAATCTGAAAGAGTTCAGATTTTAACGGTCGCCCAAAAGAGTTTTAACGCTGTCGCTGAGCTCACAGCCTACCAGTCCGTTGTAGCGCGCAATTCTGCTAACCTATTTCTGGGTTAGCGTTTCTGTTAAGCGTCATTTTCTTCGCAGTTACACCATATACAATTCAACCACAAAATTACAAAATAACAGTTGAAAAGTAATAAGTCTAAAGAAAGAATTTGATTTGCTGATGTAACGTAGTTTCTAGCAATTTTTCTCCAGAATTACAAACATTATCAAAATAGAAACGCCGTGAAGGGTTGTAGTAAGAAATAAAGAATGTTGTACTTATTTACATTCAAAAATGTGTATCTATATATGTATATATAACTTCGTTTCTAATTTCTATTTTACATTTTTTTTTTTTTTTTTTTTTCATTTTAATTTTTACTTTCTTTATTTTCCTATTATGATTTACCTGATTGGAAATATTATTTTTACATTAGTATATACAAATACTGCTTAATTGCATTACAGTAGTATATACTAATTTTCACAATTTTATTGGCATTTTGTGTATAAAATTTAGTAACTAAATAGGGTTTTCTTTGCTTTTACACCACATAAAATTGAATTCAACTGCAAAATTACAAAATAAAAGTTGAAAAGTAAAAAAGGAAGAACCTGATTGGCTGACAACGGTAGTTTCTAGTAATATTTCTTCAGGATTATAAACATTATCAAAATCGAAACACCGTGAAGGGTTGTAGTAAGAAATAAAGAAAGTTGTATTTATTTACATTAAAAATGTATCTCTATGTATCTATATATAATATCGTTTCTAAATTCTATTTTACCTTTTTGTTCATTTTTCATTTTAATTTTTATTCCTTATTTTCATATTAATTTTTATTCCTTATTTTCTTCTTATGACTTAGCTGATGGGAAATATTATTGTTTTTACATTAAAGTAGGATGAACAAATATTGTTTAATTACTTTAAAGTAGTATATACTAATCTTCACAACACAGAATACAGTGTTATTTTGCCTTTAAAATCCATCGTTATCATTCTTTCGATACATCTCGAGGCCAACATCCAAACGAAAACCCCAGAGCGAATTATACAATGAACAACTGAGCGCCATGTGACATTCAACATTGACACTACATACATATGTATATAGAGAGTATATATACATATAGAGTACATATATACGGAGAACATGTATATATGTATAGAGAGAGAGACAGAGAAAAAGTAAGAAATTTAGAACCAATTTTCCCCGAAGACACAAAAGAAGTCAAATCCAATACCACTTGCTTCTATAAAACAATTGCTCTGAAAAACCTTTAGCTGCATTTACTGAGTTACATGTAAAACTTGAAATCTTAAATACTCTTAACATTGGAATCAACAACCACAGATTACATTTTAAAGGCATTCAATCAACAAAAATAGTATTAATTCAACTACTAAGAAACTAGAACATTTTAAATTACACGACTTTAACAATATTGTTATCAAGATTTTAGATATCATGCCTCTTAAAAATAGACATTTTTAAAAAATCTATCTTTGTTTTGCAGTTCAAAACGATTTATCCATATGGATTAAACTCTTCTATCAATAATCAGTATGACTTTTAAGCTACAGTTTACGAACTGTTAAGTCTTTTCGGCAAGGAAACACAAAGAGCTACCAGAGGAAAAAGCAAAAAAGTTAAGACTTTTATAAATACTACTTTACCACAGTGCAAATTTCAGGATTTATCTGAAGAGCCAAATTTCAAGAAAAATATTCTTAATTACCTTCATTCACTCTCTCACAGTCATTCAAAATTTCTTCATTAGCGGAAACAGCCTCATCAAAGATTTAGTACTTTGCCAAATTTAAATTTAATTGTACTTCCTTTAGATATAAAAAAAAAAAATTTCACTTTCTTCACAGAAGTTTTGATGATCTCAACCTCCATAAAATATTTAAAGAAGCTCAACAAAATTTCCAACACTTGAATCTAAAATAATTGTATGCTTCAAGCACAATAGAATCTAAGTAGTTATATTACCAACCATCACGAAAAGGATCTTTCGTCAACTTTGAAGAGAAATTCCAAGACATTATTCAAGATCATGAAGTAAAGCAACTTATGAAAAAAGGAACTAAATTGAAACCAATGAAATACATTCCTGAATTCCATTTTATCGAAATTATTTCTGCAGATATTGATAGGTTCATATTTAAACCAAGTTCTCTACTAAGTTTATCTTCTTATCTGTTTAAGGAATGGGAAAATGAAATAATTTATCAAAGCAAAAAGAAAATTGATTACCTAAAAGGATTTAAAGGAATTACAAACTGGAAAAATTTACTTCTGAAGTTTTCGCAATTAAAACAACAATTTACCATTACTAAAATTGATAAAGCAAGCAATAATTTCAGTACTTTATGAAAAAAGCTCTATAATTCTAATTATTGAAAATGAACTGAAAAATTTAACTACATATTGTAATTCTGAAAATAAAGAAAGGAAATAACAAAATTTCTCTTTTTACTGTAAACAATAGATTTGCCACTTTTATGCAACTCCAAAATTTGATAAAAATCATGTCAAATTTAGATTTATAGCAAAAAGTACAAGAAACTAGAAGATGAATTTTTATTACATTTTCACAAACTTACTTAAATCAATATGTCATTTAGTTTTTGATAAAACTAATACTGATAAATCCTACTCTTGTATTATTAACGACAACTTGCAAACAGCTGAAAAAAATTAAAAATTTACACTATCAACTGCTATGACTTTGAAAATCTCTTCACATCTCTTTCACTTAAAGAAATGTATGAAAGTCTGAAGCTACCCTGTCTATTTTCCTGAAATGCTTACTAATCTGTATTTGCAAAAATGGAAAGACTTTCTCTATTTCTCGCTTTTCAATAACTTTATAAAATATGCAAACATCCTTTACCTACAAACAAAAGGTATTTCAATGGTAAATTCTTGCTCAACTCACTCATATAAGCTCTACTTGTTATCTAAAGAATATAGATTTCTTTTTTTAAAAAAAAGTTTTCATATTATGATTTCAATAAATTTGAACACACTTTCAAATATATTAATGATATTGTTATATTCGACAATGATAATCTTATTAAAAACAGCAGCATCAATTCCAGCTATTTTTCCAGTGGCGGGCTTAAGCCGTTTAGGCGTTGGCCATTATTAAGGACGGAAGCGACGATCACTTCATTATGGAAGCCGCCGTTGTCTCCTATGAAGAAACAGACAAAGTACATTCATGCCTTCTTCGAGATTCGAACCCGGGCCTTTCGTAACGACATTCAATGTTACCGATCACTTTCCCATCTGGGCGGCATCTTCCATATATTTAAAAAGTAAAAAAGTATATAATGTAATTCTGTGGAACTTACGTCTTTCGTATATTTAAAAAGCGAACAAATATGCAATGTGATTCTATAAAAGTACTGAATGTTTTGATTAGCTATATCATTAATTAAATCAATCAGATTAACAAGTAAAAAGTTGATTTCTTAAGAATTGCATCCCATTGCTTTTAAAAAGTCTAGTTTGTTAATGATTAACAGACAGATTGAACATGAAAAAACTAGATTAGCCAGAAATGATGTAGACGACTTGTGTCGCTTTACCCAGAACATTAATCTAATCTAAGCTACATAAATATTGTACAACAAGACAGAAATTTTAAACTTTTTAGGCGAGTTTAAACTCTATAACATTGTTTAAAAGTTTTCTAGTAAAATAGTTGTTTAACGTCATTTATAACTTAATTTCTTAATGTCTGATAGTGTTTATTTTCAAAGCTTTTCTTCACTTTTGAATACCGACTTACGTAACTAATTAAGCTTATTCTTCATTTTAAAATGCTTGAAAATCAGGCAAGTTTTTCATAACATTTTTCTGTGATATATAATATATATTATTCTTTCCTGTGTTTTTTAACAGTCCGTGATTTTAAGCTAAGCTTTCATATCCTATCAGTATTATTGCATTAAATCGAAAGCTGACTGTAGAACTGCGTTTCTAAATGATAAATAAAAGCTGAAATTCGAAGCACCTCAGTTAATCATAGTATTAAAATAGCCTTATCTCCTTTATTTATTTCGCTAAAAAAAAAAAAAAAAAAAAAAAAAAAAAACGAGCTGCATGATTGTATAAATCTTAAAACGCACGAATATTTTCCTAATTTGACAATTTCGAAGAATTATCTCACAGAAACCCTTGTCTTCAGCAGTAGACAGAATATCACATCCCTCTTACCCTAGTACTGAGTGTAACAGAACTTAAAAATTGATGGTTGCTGTCCTTTCGGTAAAGACATAGTCACAAACTTACAGTCAAAGCCTTAGTGTTCGTTGAGAACGTTCCCAAATCAGACTTCACACTTTTGTCCCAATTTGAGCTTTAAAGGGAAAGATTCGGTAATTTTATTCTCAGTTCAGCCCGATCAAGAAATACCCCCTCATTTCATTTGTGACCCAATCTGTGTTTTTACACCCTCTTCTATAAATCAAAGAACATAAAGTCAGTGCTTTCAACGACATAACACTTTTTATTTCGTATTATTTTAATGGAAACAACTCATCTCTCAAAAATCTTAGCCATTAATAATATTTTGTCGTGATTTTGAAGCTATAATATAACTTTGCTTAATTTCATCTAAACAGTCTCAGTCGCTTCAGCTAGATGAGAATTCTAGAAAAATTTAAAGCTGTGTGACGGAGATTACAACAGACGTTAGAAGGTGTAAAATAACCTTTCATTTAATTCACAAAAAAGTTAACAGAAGGTACATATTGTGCTTACGGAAACATTTATGGCGTAAATAAAAAAGTAATGGCGCAGGTGGGTTCAGACTTAATATTGATTGGCTTGACAAGCCTAATGGCGAGAATAAGGCAACGCCGCAGATAAACTGCTCTCAAGCGAATCGCAGCGTAGCCTTCAGCTTGCTGAACGCGTTGTTTTCTGCCATCTAAAACATTCCTTTAATAAATACTAACAGAAAAATTCATGCTCGCTTTCAGAAGAGTATATAGCTAGTATATATATCTATTCTGACTGATATGGCGACTTTATTTCTGTTAAAAAAATGTATTCTATTGACAATATTACCCAATTGTTGATCACAATAAGCGATGTATTTTCCATGATTTCATACATAAATGGTTACAACTTCGGCAAATCGATAACAATATCCGAATGATAACATCAACCGCTATCACATAAGGGGACGTCTACCAGCGTTTTAATTTTTTTTTCTGTCAGAATAAATTATTCATCCAAGGGATTTGTCAGTTAATTTGATTCATTTAATAGGATTTGATTTCGAATTTTATTTTCATTCATCGTCATTGCTAAAGAAGTTTTTTAGTTGCTGCTGACGAATGAATGAACTAACATTATTCCATCAAGAAAAATATTTGACATACTTTTTTTCTTAAAATCTTAATTCTGAAACAAAACCAACTTTAAACCCTTCTTCTGCTGCACTTAAGAGATGAGATTTTCTGTGAAGATCTTCATATAGATATTTCCCTATCTAAAATTTAGATAAATCAAAGCAAATGGCAATAAATGTGAAAACAAACCGAATTGCACATTTGAGAATTCGGCATCTCTGAATTTTTTTACAAAATGGATCTCGAAAATTTATTCGTTTGAGAACCCAGTATAATTCGACAAGTATTTCACCTGAAGTATCTTAAATAAACGTATATTTCGGAAACTTTACGCTCATTTCAGGAGAGCCATTACATATATATTCCTCCACGTCTAAAAAACTAACACTTCCAGCTGAATTTAATTTTTCAGGTTTTGCTATTTGTAACGCATTAAAATTTCATAATATATAAAAATAATTATTTCTTTCCTTTTTGACAAAATTAAAACATGGGAGTTATATTAAAACAAAAGTATTAATCTAGAATTAGATTTACTATTTTGGGTAGGATGAAGTTACGAAGAGAAAAATATGCCTTAAGCCATTTTGTAGCGCAGTTAACATTGCTTTGGCTTGTTACACCAGCTTCCATTGGATTCTAGGTAAGTTATGAATTCATATTTCAACATATTTTTCTTGCTATTACTCAAAAGAAACAAAAAACTAGACCTGTTAGTAAACATATTAAAAACTAAAAATTTATAAAATATATCAAGTCTGGTACGAAAACGCTAACAGTCGTCACCTTGATAACTATGCACCAAAAACTGCCTGATTATACATTACAAGTAGGTATCGGTGTTAAATATAACGCATAATTAGAAGTTAATTAAAGTGAATGTTAAACATAATTGTAAGTCTGAGGCTTATGAAGATGAATATTAAACACAAACCACATCATTTATTAAAACCAATCAAATAGATAATTTGTACAGAAGCACTTAAGAGATAAATTCTACTCTTCAAATACCAAATATAAATGGAGTAATACACGAACTCATGAAAATATGCTAATATATATGGCATAACTGCACTGAATTAGGTGCACAGGAAAGGAAAATTACACAAACTTGATCTAAATTAATAAACAGATATTTAAATTTATTCTTCATCTTAACGTATTTTGTAAAATGCTAAGTTGAGACATTTTCTAAGTAAAGAAGTAAAACTGTAATCATTAATTTATTATTAATTAAGAAAAGATGTAAATTCTACATGAAAGAACAGAGAAAAATATTTTAATCTCAATGTACATTATAAAATGTAGTAGGAAATATAAATTTCGTACAGATGTGAATTTGCATTATATGAGAAAAATGAAATTTGTTATTCACATCTATCATACACAAAATTTCCATAATTTTCACCAACTTCTTTGTTACTTACCAATAGACATATAAAAAATTTATAGCTAAGTTCCTAAACAGGCAAATTAATAGAGAAGTCCAAGTGAATATAAATCATTTTTTAAGTTTTCTCTGAAATACTATATCCTGAAAAAGTTTCGCAGCAAAGTTAATTTTCGCGATATCTGTCCATTCATCAGAAGAAAACATTTCTTCTGCATGTTCACATGTAAACTCAGACACACTTTCGTACAAGTCATTGTCAGAATGCATACAAGCTAACTGTAGAATTCTTTACAGATTTTGAACACTGAGGTTAGAGCTAAAAAATGATGAGCATTTTGTTTTCAAGGCAAGATCATATTTATCAGTTACCTCGTAGAGTTCCTCAGCTGTTTCCTGCAATGAGTTTTCCAAATTGCCTGTGTAGATAAACAGAAGGAACTCATCCATTAACTTTAGACCATTTCAACAGCTTCTTGTCCAAGAGACACTGCTGTATTCATATGAAGTGATAGTTAGATACATTTCCCAACCTTAGGCTGTAGATTAAAACTGAGCAATAAAATATAATTTCCATCAGCAGATTTTATGTCAAATTAAATCTGAATCATCTGAAATGTTTAGTTTATTCCATCATGAAGAAGAAAAATCCTCAAAGATGCAATTTTGTCCTTTTTGAAAAATTCATTAAAATATGTTTATCCGTATTGGCTCTTTTGTTCCCTCTGTGCTCATCCTCGGAGATGTCAGATTATCAGATAAGTATTTTGACAATCAGAAAAAATTCATGGATAAGCATCGTATATAATTTAGGGTGTCCTTTACAAACTTAGACAACAATGCTTTCATCTTTTGATGAATAATCGTACCGAATGATATCATCTTCTCAAAAATATTTCTCACATACAACGCTCACTCGGAATTATTTTATCTAGAAATCCCGTTTTAATGTATCTTTTGGAAACTTGAATATCTATATATATTCACTGGTTTTAACATATTTCGATTTGTAGACTGAAACGCAACATTGTGCGGGCATGAAAGTAGACTTAACTCATTGTAGCTATATTTATTAAGAAATAAGTAAACTTAGCCACCGGTTGTAGGAAAAATGTCACACGGAAAAAAGGGAAACGGAAAGAATATCCCCGGAAAATAAGGAACGGAAAAAGTGTCACCCTTCGTTTGCAATGGGAAATATAAGGCATGTTTAGAAAGATCGCCAAGCTGGGTGATAAAAGTTTTATCTCAATAACTGTAACTTCGGATGACCGTAAACATGTGCGAGTAGAAGCAAGAAGATGTGTTGGCTGCTTGTTTCTTCTATGGAGCCTACCTCCATGGTTTCTTCGTTTTAAGGTTAAAAATAGAGGGTTGTTTAAGAGGGGGAAGCTTTCGCGATGGAAGCCAGGGGGGGAAGGCGGGTTGTCCAGCGTCGGCCCAAGGCGTTTTGCTTCCGGAGTACCTTTGCAAATAAATGCAATAACCTCCACAACTTCGCTAAGAAAATAAATTGAATAATTAAGAGTTGAGCATAGCTAAAGTGAGAGAACGAAACCGTTAAGGGTTTAAATACTAGAAGTGAATGAGAGGTCCACTCAAAGGACGAAAGTTTCCTTCATCTTTCAATTTCGCTTAGGAAAGGGTCAAAGACCTCAAGCGATAAGAAAGATAGAAGAAGAATTGAGGCGATTTCCGCACGCATTGCGTGAATGAAATCGAAACAGTTGAAAGAAAATAGGGTGAGAGGAACTTGCCTCCGGCCCCGGGAAAGTTTATGTCATAGCTACTCTGGAAAGCAGCAGATTCGCTAATGCCTTGGGATGAGCGGGGAAGGGAGCCGGTCTGACGACCAAAGATGGCTGAGGAGGCGGCCAAAAATGGCGGAGGAAAAATGTGGAACGCTTCACGATCAAGGAGGTTAGAAACCTCCTTGTTCACGATTTTGCGTGTCATCCTTGCGCAGGGGCCATGCTAATCTTCTCTGTATCGTTCCAATTTTAGTATACTGCCGAAGCGAGTAACATCCAGTGTCGGTCATTGTCAGGTCTTTAGTAATTACTCTCCTGGCACCGCATGTAGTTAAGCCTTAAGCTGCGGTTTCGTGAAACATTTATTGACACACAACAGAAAACTAATTCATCCTGAGCTTTGGTATAAGAAACAGTTGTAGATGCAATTTCAAGTTACGGTTTGCGATAACAATAGGACTAAATTTTTTACCTAATTAATTTTTGCATAATTTTTTTTTCTCATTTGATTTTAATTAAAAGTAACGCATCTGCACAGGAAACAATTGTTTAATTTTGCACTTAAGTTTGAAAACAAGAATACCACAGTTATTAAAATTAAGAGGTTTATTTCAAAATTATTAGTCCCTGAGGGACTAATGTTTTCATTTTGCGACTTTGCGTCGAATCACTCTGAATGTCCGTTTCACTTTTCAAACTGTTGCCACCAAATATTGTGATAAAACAACGGTACCTAGAGCCATCGAGTTTCGAATGACGTAATCCTACTGCGAATGGGCAACTGGAAGCCCAAATTTGAAATTTGGGATTTGTTTTATTATCGATTTTATATTTTGTAACGAATTTTTGATTAACAAACTCAAGAATTTCAAAGCTAGGCATGGCAATGTTGTACAGAAAAAACATTTTTTATCTCCAGCGCGTGAGACTGTGAATTGGAAATTCTAAAAATGTCTCAATTTAAAATTATTTTGCGATACTGCTCTTGAACTGAATTTTATGGTTTAAGTGCGAAGAATATGATATTTAATAAATAAAGGTAACACACAAAATGTTTAAAAAAAGGCCCCTTTGGACGTAATTTAAAATCTGAAACCTTTCAGATTTTTTATTTTACTAAAATTTTAAAATCTTATTAAAATGGATCCTATAACCACGCGATCTGGATTTAAACATTTAATATGCAATAAACCCTCTTACGGCGACCTCTTCCAAAATAATTTCTCAGAGTAGAAATTAACACTTGTACCGAGCATTATCTCTTTAAGACGACCACTTCCACCAAAGACCAAAATAATTAGAAACGTGGATGATCGTATTAGAGAGGATTTAATGCATTTTACAATGCACCAATGCGTAATCCTACTCAGAGCCGGACCATCTAGTAGCCCATAAACGATTGGCGACCATCTCCTTAAGACGATCACTTCCAAAAGGTGACAGGCATCATTTCTATGGGTATAAACAAACGCTTGCACTGAATACCATCTTTCTAGGGTGGTGATCTTCACAGAATACCAAAAATCAACTAGAAACATGGATGGATTAGGATTATTCAATTATGGCAAAGCGCACGAGGGCTATCTACCTAAAGGGAGGGATGCCTTCGTGGAGAACTCTCTAAGGGAAACTGGAAATTGACTCTTATACATATTACACATGGGAAAAACCACGAAAGTGCCCATGCCGCCAGCCCGTTCGCGGTATTGGAATCTCGGACCAAACTACTAGTGTTCAGCGTCTTTACCGCTCGGCCGCTAACAGGCTGAAATCTGATGGGTGGCTGATGGATATCTTAGAAAGGATTTTTACTTATAGTAGTTATATTAATTACAATTACGTGTAAAGCTTATGGAAACTTAAAAGCGGCCGAGCGGTTAAGTTGCTGAATACCCTGGTTGTTAGGTCTGGGTTCGATTCCTAGCAAAGCAGCTTTTCGTGGTTTTTCCCCTATATAACGAGCTAGTTTTCCTTAGGAAGCCCTCCACAAAGGCAACCATTCTCTTAGGCAGATACCTTTCCTGCGCTTTGTTACAGTCAAGTAAATCAAACCAAATTAAAGAAGCTTATTCATTCTACTCTCCAAATTGAGCTCCAAATAAGTCATACGTGGGAGCTTTTCGTATTCATAACGTAAATCGTATCAAAATGGAAAATTAAATAAATTTAAATTATTTAACTTGGTTATCTAGAATTCCAGTTTTTAATTTATCTCTTGTTTCCAAAAATCTGAGCATGAATAATTGTGTAATAAAGCATAAACCGATAACTTTGAAATTCAGAGAATAATTGAAATGGCGTTTGACCACTAGCAGCCTAGAGGTAAAAATCGTTGAATATTGGTAGTTCGACTGGCGTTCAAACCATGGCAGATGTGCTGCTTACCAGGAAAATTTCGTGTTTTTCTCCATGTGTAACATAAATACGAGTCAGTTTCTATCAGACGTATGAAATAATTTTTGTCAACTACCCGCTATAAACATTCCTCCATGAAGGCATCCATATTCACCTTCGGCAGATAATCTTATGGTACTTTGCCATAACCCCTAAATAATCTGATTTGATGATCATTGCTAATCTTTTCTCATACTGAAGCCTGTGATGCTTTAATTAATGATTTTATTTATCATAAACTGTGTTAACTGCTTTAAATTAACCAAATCAGGATTTGATTTTTTCTGTTAGATTTCCTTTTTGAAATTTTTGACATCATTTTAGAAGCCTAAATATGTCAGATCGTTTTAGTAAGACGTATTATTTGTAACTGTTTTACATATAAGTACAGAGAGATTCTCATGACGGCGAACTCTAAAAGT